CCCCCCCCCTGGGTCCCCCCGCCAGGGCATAGGCGCGCATACCGTGGCCATGACACGGAGGGGAGGCGCATGGTGTGCGCATTTTTGTGCAGGGTCACGGTCGTCACACCAACTCCTTGGGAGGGCTGCATGCGGGCGGTTCCACCTCCCTGAGCCTGCGCGGCTGGTGGTGGTCTTCGTGCCGAGGGGCCCTGTTCGGGGGCAGCTCCCCAGGTGCGTACCGCCCCGCGTCCGTTCTCAGGGGGGCGAGTCCGCCCCCCCCCTCGGCCTATGTCCTTGGGTTTGGAGTTTTTTTTTTTTTTCGGGAGTCCCCCCCCCAAGCGTCTGTACATGATCGTCTCACCGCCGGGCAATAGTGGGTGCCCAGGCACCCGGGCGTCCGACCCCACGCCCCCCCCCCCCCTGCCCGCGTTTGGGGCCCATGGAGCAGGCTCGCATACCGACCGCGAGGTGCTAATCTGAATTCCTCATCCGCTTGGAGTAACCCGGCCGCCCTCCGGGATGGGGTGCCAGGCTCCGCCCGGCCGCGAGCCGGACAGACCCCCTTCAGGCAGTCCCGATGCACTGGAACGCATACAGATGCCCAGGGCAGGGGCCAATCGACGCACGCCCCGTCCCCCTGGCGGGTTCCCAACAAGGGGACCCCGTCCCCCCCCCCCCCCCCCCCCCCCCCCCCCCCCGCGCCCAGCCCACCCCCTGCCGCGTCCAGGCTGCAGCCAATGCTCAGGTGAGGGGCCACCCTCGCCCTGGTGCGGAGCCTCTGTCCTCCTCTCCGCGCGGAACGCGATCAGAGCCCTTTTTCCGGACCCGGAGCAGGGCGCCCCGAGGCCCGGCCCCCGGGGACCCGCACATTCTTTCAGGCCCTTGCCCCCCCTCTCTCTCCGCCCTTTGCGCTGCTGCCTCTCCCCCCCGCCGCGTCATAGCGCCATCTTCTGGTCCCTCTTCCCCCGCTCGCCGCGTATTGTCCTCCTCCCGTCCCCTTTGTGTGGATCCCTGGCCTTCCTCCCTCCCCCGCCACGATGTCCACCCCATCCAATGTGCGCTTGCTCTGGTGTCGCTGTACGCCCCATGTTGGTTCTTACTCACCCCCCCCCCCACCGCATTCGGGTCATTCCGCATGTAGTTCAATGCCACCAACTTCAAGACCGGCATCCTGACAAAGCAGGGCGGTCGCATCAAGACCTGGAAGCGGCGCTTCTTCGTGCTCGACAAGCAAAATCGCATGTTCTACTACTTCAAGAATGAGAACGTCCGTCGTCGTCCGCTGTGTCCCGCCATTCTCTCTCGTTCTCCGTCGCCTCCTCCCCGGCCCCCTCTCTATCCTTTGCCCATGGCCCTGACCCTCCTTCATTTCCCATGCCCCCCCCCGCTTGCCCTCCCTTTCCCCCCCCCCCCCCCCCCCCCCCCCCACGGTCCCCCCTCCCCGCCTGGCTGCCCTTCACCATGTGCCTGCACACCATCAGGAGACCGCCCTCAAGCAGGCCAAGGGCATGGTGCATCTTGAAAACTACAAGATCCACTGCGCCGTGGCCGACACCAAGCGCGAGCACTCGCTCAAGATCGTGAAGCCCGGCGCCCGGACTTACTTCCTGGTGGCCGATACGGCGGCCATCTGCGAGGACTGGCGCCAGGTGTTCATCGAGCTGGGCATGAGCCCGGACGATGACACCCCGGCCGAGAGCAGTCCCGTGTCCAACGATGGGCCGATCTCGGTGGTGACTGTCCTCGGCCCGTCCGAGCAGCCGAGTGCCCTCAGCGCCGCCCCCTCGGTCCCAACGACGCCGGTGCGTTTCCGTCCTATGGCCGATGGCCCTCTTGTCCCGCCTCGCCCCCCCCCCTCCCCAACCCGCTCGGTTGCCCACCACAAGCTCACCAATTGCTCATGCTGTTCTTCCCCCGTCCGTGATTGCGTCCCCAGCTCGAGTCGGTCACCTCGGAGGAGGCCGCCGTCGCCGAGCAGCCGGAGGCCGCGGCCCCTGTCCCCTCAAATGGTTCGACATGCTTCAATTGTCTTCCTCCCTTCTCCGCTTCTCTTCGCCCCAGCCTCGGCCAGCCATTCATGTGCCTGTTGGGCGTGTTATATGCTCTCCTCTCTGACACCGTCCCACCCCCACCCCTCCCTCTTTCGTGCCATGATGCTGTCCACACATAGTCCCTGCTGAGCTTGCCATGGGCGCCCCGCCCCCGACGCTGGAGTCCTTTGACAATGACGACTCCGACGATGACGAGGCCGACGAGCCCAAGGTACGCTGGGCATCCTGCTTCTCGTCCCTGACCTTCTGCATTCTAGGCCGCCATCCTCCCGCTGTTGCCCTCCCCCTGCCCCCCCCCCCTATCCCTGGATCTTGACAATATGCTCACTCACAATTCTCCATCATCATGCGCTCATCTTCTCAATGCTCAGGCTTTCACTCTCATGCTCGTGCCGCTCGACCGGCCGGATTATGACACCATGGTCTTCCGCAGTGACCAGACCACCCTGGGCTCGCCACTGGGTGGCGTCATTCGTTTCGGCCGGCAGCATCCCCAGTCGCAGGCGGCTGCCCCCTCGGCCCCTGGTGACTCTCCCGCCCCGGCGCATTTCATCAAGCTGCACGCTGATATCGCCTCTCGCGCTCACGCCGATCTGTGGTTCGAGGAGACCAAGTCCGCCTTCGTCCTGCTCGACTTGGGAAGTCGTGCCGGCACCTTCATCAACAGCGACCGTATGCCCAACAATGTCACCACCCCCACCACTCTGGCCCACGGGGATGTCATCCAGTTTGGCGTGGACCAGCGCGGCTCTGAACGTGCGTCTCTCGTCTCTCCCATTTCCCACCCGGTCTCTCTCTCTCTCTCTCTCTCTCTCTCTCTCTCTCTCCCCCCCCCCCCTGTCTGGCTCGCGTGCGCGATGCAGGACAACATGTGCGCCAGCCGCCCCGTCCCCCTTCTGATCGCACCTGTCTGACACCATCCTACTCATGTGCTTGTGCATGCGTCCAGTTCATCGCCGTCGCATCCGCTTCCGGATTGAGATTAGCGAGTCGTACACGGCCTTCGAGTCCCACCAGGATTCCGACTTGCAAAATGTCACCCGCAGTGTCAATCTCCTCAACCTCCAGTCGTAGTGTCCTCTCTTGTCGACTCGGGAAGCTTTCTCCCTCCCTCCCTCCCTTCCCCCCCCCTCTCCCTCTCTCTCCCTTGGTTCCCCCTCCCTTTCTCCTCCCCCCCCGGGGATGCAGGGACCGGAGGCACATGGTTCACGCACTTGTACCGGGACTGGTGGGGGATGGCCGCCCCTTCCGGGCGGTGCGTCCCGGGCGGCGGGCGTGCCGCCGGCGCCTCCTTCCGCCCGGGGCCGAACTCCGGAGCGCAGTCGGTGCGGCGTGGGGCCGAGAGCCAAGGGCCTTGTGGAGCGGGTCTGTGTCACCCCCCCCCCCCCCCCCGGCCCCGCCTCTTTGTGTGCGTGCGTGCGCGCGCGTGTGTATGCACATTGTGTGCATACACTCTGTGTGTCCCCTGGCTCAACCCGAAAAATATACCTTTGTACAATTGCCCGTCCCTGCGCGCGTGCCATCGATCCGTGACAGAGGTGTGTAATACGTGCGGGAAAAAGGGAAAAGCAAAGTACCTGCGCCACCACCATCTCTAATGCGTCGGTGCATCTGGACCCTGCCAAACAGCCTTCTTTCGCGTCAGGGGCGAGGGCAATGCGGCGATCGGGGAGCAACAGGGCCGGGGCTCGTCCCCCCCCCTCGCCCCCCCCCCCCTCCCCCCCCGCGGCCAGGCATACAGGCGAAGGCTGGGAGGAAGGGGGCTGGGCCTGGCAACCGGCTGGCCAGGAGGCGTCGCGGTCGTGGCCGTGGCCGTGGCCACAAGAGCAAGGCAGGGGCTCACGAGCGGCGTCTGATTCCCCGGCATGTGATCAGACATGTGACGAACATGCGCCATCTTGTTGGCCCCCCCTGGCCCCCTGCGGTGGAGATGTGGGGGGCTCCCGCGCCGCCACTGGCATCAGACAATACGCACAGTGTGGGCACGGCCATACTCGTTTGGACACCCGCACCCGGGTGGAGCCGGCAGATGAGTGTCGACACTTGCGTGTCCCCCCCCCCCCCGCCCGCCCCCCGCCCTCCCTCGCAGGCCCACACGGTGATTACCCGGGCCGACCCCCTCTGCCGGCCCCGGCGGTGGGGCCGGCAGACCTGCATGACCAGGCCGCCCTGTGATGGGACCCTGCAGCTCCGCCAGGCGGGGTGGGAGGGCGACCGCCACATGGTCGGAAGAATCTGCCAGCCATCGGGCCACGCTCACACACGCGCACCGTTTGTCAGTTGCACGCCGGGAATCCGCCCAAGCCCCGGAGCATGAGTGCGTTGTCAAGCCGATTCCCCCGG